AATTCCTCCAGAAATGATAGATGTATTGCTGACGCAATTCTTTCACAATTCCGAAGGTATATCCACCAATATTCGGAAGTACATTTCTTCAGAGGGATTTACCTGGAATTTCGGGAGGAAATTCAACAGAATACTTTGCAGATTTTTTTCAGAATTCTCGATTTCGAAATTTCATAGATCTTAAAGGTATTCTTCCAGAGACAGAAACCTCTCCAGAATTTCAAGAAGAATACCTCCACAATTGCGAGAAGAATTTGTTTGAAATTTGGGAAAGAATTCCTCCGGAATTGTGGAATGAACTCCGGACGAAATTCTTTCACAATCCCAGAGGTAAATTCTCAAATCTTCCGGAGTGAATTTCTTCATAACTACAAAAGAAATCCTACACAATTCCTGGAGGATTTTATCCATAATCTTTGGAAGATGTTCCTCTACAATTCTGGAAGGAATTTTTTTCAGAATTTGAAGAATAGCTTCAGCAAAATTCGTGGAATAAATCCCTTCTGATGTCTTGGAAGAGTTCCTCCAAGATTCCGGGATGAAATACATATAATGTATCCATTCTGGAAGAAATTTCTCCAGCATTCCGAAAGGTATTGTATCTGAATTCTGCAAAAAAAATCTCCAGGATTTCTAAGGGAATTCACTTAGAAATCATGGCGAATTAAGGGAATAGGATTTAAAGAGGAATTCCCCTCAATTTAAAAAAGAATTCCGGAATGAATTCCTCCAGAACTGTCAAATGGATCTTTGACGCAAATTCTTTTACAATTCCAGAGACATATCCACCAAACTTCCGGAGTACATTTCATCAGGATTTCAGTGAGATTTTCCAGGAATTTTGGAAGGAAATCCTACAGATTTTTTAGAATTCATGGTGGATTTTTTTCCATAATCTTTGGAAATTATTATTCAGTATTCAATTTTATTACAGTTCTAAAAGGTATTCTTCCAGGAACAGAAACCTACATGGAATCGGTCTATAATTGAGGAATGAGGTTTGCAGACAATTTCGTTACAATAGGAGGAAATCCTTCAGTATTCTGAAAGGAATGTCTCCAGCATTCTGGAAGGAATTTCTTCTGATTTATGAATGGAATTTCTCCAAGATCTCTACAGGAATTTTTCCATAATTTAAAAAGAGGTTCCTGCAACATTTCGAAAAGAAATCATTCACCATTCCGCAATGAATTCCTCTAGAAATAATGAATGTATTGCTGATGCAATTCTTTCACAATTCCGAAGGTATATCCACCAATCTTCGGAAGTACATTTCTTCAGAGGGATTTTCCCGGAATTTCGGGAGGAAATTCAACAGAATACTTTGCAGAATTTTTTGCAGAATTCTCGATTTCGAAATTCCATAGATCTTAAAGGTATTCTTCCAGAGACAGAAACCTCTCCAGAATTTCAAGAAGAATACCTCCACAATTGCGAGAAGAACTTGTTTGAAATTTGGGAAAGAATTCCTCCGGAATTGTGGAATGAACTCCGGACGCAATTCTTTCACAATCCCAGAGGTAAATTCTCAAATCTTCTGGAGTGAATTTCTTCATAACTACAAAAGAAATCCTACACAATTCCTGGAGGATTTTATCCATAATCTGTGGAAGATGTTCCTCTACAATTCTGGAAGGAATTCTTTCAGAATTTGAAGAATAACTCCAGCAAAATTCGTGGAGCATTCCGAAGAGAATTGCATCTGAATTCTGCAAAGAAATAAAAAAATTTCCAGGATTTAAAGAGGAATTCTTCCTCAATTTCAAAATAAATTGCTTCACAATTCCGGAATGAATTCCTCCAGGACTGTGGAATGGATCTTTGACGCAAATGCTTTTACAATTCCAGAGACATATCCACCAAACTTTCGGAGTACATTTCCTCAGGATTTCAGTAGGGTTTTCCAGGAATTTTGGGAGGAAATCCTACAGAATTACTTGATGATTTTTTTAGAATTCATGGCGGAGTTTTTCCAGAATCTTTGGAAATTATTATTCAGTATTGAATTTTATTACAGTTCTAAAAGGTACTCTTCCAGCGACAAAACCTTCATGGTTTGGTCTATAATTGAGGATTGAGGTTTGCAGACAATTTCGTTACAATAGGAGGAAATCCTTCAGTATTCTGAAACGAATGTCTCCAGCATTCCGGAAGGAATTTCTTCTGATTTCTGAATGGAATTTCTCCAAGATCTCTAAAGGAATTTCTCCATAATTTAAAAAGAGGTTCCAGCAACATTTCGAAAAGAAATCATTCACCATTTCGGAATGAATTCCTCCAGAAATTATAGATGTATTGCTGACGCAATTCTTTCACAATTCCGAAGGTATATCCACCAATCTTCGGAAAAACATTTCTTCAGATGGATTTTCACGGAATTTCGGGAGGAAATTCAACAGAATACTTTGCAGATTTTTTGCAGAATTCTTGATTTCGAAATTCCATAGATTTTAAAGGTATTCTTCCAGAGACAGAAACCTCTCCAGAATTTCAAGAAGAATACCTCCACAATTGCGCGAAGAATTTGTTTGAAATTTGGGAAAGAATTCCTCCGGAATTGTAGAATGAACTCCAGACGCAATTCTTTTACAATCCCAGAGGTAAATTCTCAAATCTTCTGAAGTGAATTTCTTCATAACTACAAAAGAAATCCTACACAATTCCTGGAGAATTTTATCTATAATCTTTGGAAGATGTTCCCCTACAATTCTGGAAGGAATTCCTTCAGAATTTGAAGAATAGCTCCAGCAAAATTCGTGGAATAAATCCCTTCTGATGTCTTGGAAGAGTTCCTCCAAGATTCCGGGATGAAAAACATATAATTTATCCATTCTGGAAGAAATTTCTCCAGCATTCCGAAAGGAATTGCATCTGAATTCTGCAAAAAATCTCCAGGATTTCTAAGGGAATTCACTAAGAAATCATGGAGAATTTTTTTTTTCCAGGATTGAAAGAGGAATTCTTCCTCAATTTCATTATGAATTCCTTCACAATTCCGGAATGAATTCCTCCAGAACTGCCAAATGGATCTTTGACGCAAATTCTTTTACAATTCCAGAGACATATCCACCAAACTTTCGGAGTTCATTTCATCAGGATATCAATGGGATTTTCCAGGAATTTTGGGAGGAAATCCTACAGAATTTCTTGATGATATTTTAGAATTCATAGTGGGTTTTCCCATAACTCTTGAAAGTTATTATTCAGTATTCAATTTTATTACAGTTCTAAAAGGTATTCTGCCAGGGACAGAAACCTACATAGAATTGGTCTATAATTGAGGATTGAGGTTTGCAGACAATTTCGTTACAATAGGAGGAAATCCTTCAGTATTCTGAAACGAATGTCTCCAGCATTCCGGAAGGAATTTCTTCTGATTTCTGAATGGAATTTCTCCACGATCTCTAAAAGAATTTCTCCATAATTTCAAAAGAGGTTCCTGCACCATTTCCAAAAGAAATAATTCACCATTCCAGAATTAATTACTTCAGAAATGATGAATGTATTGCTGACGCAATTCTTTTACAATTCCGAAGTTATATCCACCAATCTTCTGAAGAATATTCCTTCAGAAGGATTTTCCCGGAATTTCGGTAGGAAATTCCACAGAATACTTTGCAGAATTTTTTTCCGATGTCAGGATTTCAAAATTCCACAGATCAAAAAGCTATTCTTCCAGAAGCAGAAACCTGTACGGAGGTGGTATAAAATTGTGATATGAGTTTTGGAGGAACTATCGTTACAATAACGGTGGAAATGAACCAGTCTTCCGGAGTACACTCTTCAGATGTCCTGAGAGAATTTCAGAGAAGAATCACAGATATTTGATGGAATTCATCCAGAATTCCTGTAAGTGGTCCTAGAAATGATTTCTCTATAATTTGAAGATTGCTTTCTTCGAAATTCCGAAAAGAATTTCTCCAGGATTCAGGAAAATTTCCGGATTTTCAAAAAAGATTTCCTCCTGAATTGCATAAGTCAAAATAGCCAGTTCTATCACAAACTTGGTTTATTGTCCCTAGCGAACATGAGCGGAAAAATCTAAAATTTGTTAATTTTTTTTGCTATTAAGTCTGGAACTTCTATATTTTGGAAAATTAGGCATTAGTCAAACTTTCAGAATTCAGGCATAAACTTGGTTCATTGGCCCTAGTGAACAATTATGCGAAGTTTCACGAAATTTGGAGAGGTAAAATAAAACTGACTGGTCAGTTGGTCGCAACTCCGGAGGAACATTGTTTTGAATTCCTGGAAAAACTCCACCAGAATTTCTAAAAGAGTTCATTTCAGATTCTGGATAAAATCTCTCCAAAATTTTGGGTGGTATTCCTCGAAAATTTGGAGAATAATGCCTCAAAAAATCCAAAATTTTGGTAATTATTATTTGAAAGCTTGGAGAATAATGCTTCAGGAAAGCCAAAAATTTTTTTTAGAGGTCCGTGAGCAGTGATTGAAGAATTTGATCATAATTTTATTCAAATTTTACCAGAATCCCAAAAGTACCTCCTAATTATTTTCTAAATGCATTTCTCCAGAACAACGGAAGAAATTTCTCCATACCATGGAAGGGAATTTCTTCGAAATTCGAAGAGAAGTTTATTCTGAATTCTGATAGGGATTCTTTCCAAATCCTTAGAGGAGTTCTATCAGAATTCCAACAGAAATTCCGAGCAATTCAAGAAGAAATCCGCCAACAATTCAAAGGCTAATTCTTAGAGGGTTCGAAAAAGAATTTCTCCATGGCTCAAAAATCTTCTAGAGCTCCAGAAGGAATCCCTCCAGAATTCCTGTAGGATTTCTACCAGAACGCTGATAGTAATTCCAACAATTCTAGAAAAATTCATCCGGAATTCTAGAGGAAATCCTTCAACAACTTTGAAAGGAAGTTTCGCTTAACTTTAATTTCTCTGCAATTCTGCATGCCGAAATCCCATCGATATTCCACAATCATTTCATAATTCCCTTATTTATTCTCCAAAAAAAATCTCCATCCCTCACAGCAAATCACCATCGGAATCCACTCGGGCGAGGTCGTCACAGGAGTCATCGGCAACCGGATGCCCCGGTACTGCCTATTTGGCAACACGGTCAACCTGACGAGTCGCACGGAAACGACCGGCATCCCCGGGCGGATCAACATCAGTGAAACGACATACAAGTAAGTGGTCCGCAATCAATCCAACAAATCGATATATTTCATGATTTTCCGAGGCACATTAAGGCGGTTGATTCCTCGCGGTAGTTGAAAGTTGTTTCGCAGCTGATTCCGTACGTGACAGCGGCAAATGGATTTCAGGCTCGGCACTCCGAACAGTTGGTCCTGCGGGATGAGCTGGTCCTGCAGCAGCAGTCCGTACTTGATTTGGAACATTTCCTTGCGAACGTGGAAGAGAGCCGGTTTGTACGGCAGTTCGATCATGACGATGCAGCGGAGCAAAAGCTTGAGGCAGGACACCAGCTGGTAGGGGTACGATCGGTTCTCGTATTCTCGGAGCTTGTCCAGAAGACTGATGATGGGGGATGCTCCACCGTCGTCCGGATCGGGATTGGCTCCGTGGCTGGAATGGAATGCGGTTAGGTCGTGCTTTTATTGAAAGATAGCTCATTACCGCAGGAGAATCGTAAGGATGTCAGGAGCTGAAGCCTGAATGGCAACACGCAACGGGGCTGCTTTTCCACACGATTCGATTGGGATGTCGATGAATCTGCAGGTGATTCGGAAGGAAGCGGTTATTTTTGACAGAAGTTTTCACCGTTATGCTTCTTAGAATGAATTACAAGTAGATGATTGTAGATAAGTTCAAAATGAAAAAGTTGGCTGAAGATTGTAGCTGGCTTGAAGGGGATTATAATTAGCCAACTCTTAAGTGAAACGTCCGATTCAAACCAGGTATTTGAAACACTTGATTGTTTTCGTTAACTCTACAAAACTCCGATGACAAATTGTAGCACTCACTTCGTTGGCACTAGGTCATGGTAAGCGTACGAATAGCTCGGAAGACTCAACCTCGTCTGGCCGGCATGATACAGGAAGAACACCATCGCCCGCAGATTCTCGTCCTGATCCTTGAAGTCACTCTTCCATCCGGCAATGAAATGCGGTGCATTCGAACCGAACAGAGCTCCCAAAAACAGTCTCTCGTACGTCTTCTCACAACCGTAGATCTCCTCTATAATTGAATTAACCGTCAATAGGACTTCACTTTAAACCCCGTTCCTTGGTCTCACCCAGCAGCAGCCGAATCACTGCCGAATCCTCCAGACTCCAGTCCCACGCGACCCGCAACGCAATGTACAGCACATTGTGATACTTCCCCATCATGCACACCCGATAGTTGTCGTCCCTCATCTTCCGGTGGTAGTCGATGGCCGACTTGACCGCCAAACTGACCGCCAGCTGAGCGGTGGCCGTCTTCCGACCCTCAATACATCCGGAAATGACGGAATTCAAGTGGTCAATCACGTCCCTCCGACCGCTGCGGCTCTTCAGCCCACTGCGCTCCAACGTCAGCAACGATTCCTCGAAAAACACATCGAAAACATACTCCATTATTCGGGGAAACAGCCAAGGACAACTTTTAGCAATTGCAGCTTCCGTTAATTAGCTTCCCGGAAGCCATGCACCAACAAACAAACGTAACTTTCAATTAGAGATCCGAAAGCAAGAACTTCCTATGTCCGTTCTGGATCGAACGGAAAAGTTGACTGTCGTCGTCGTTCGGACTAAGGCACTGAAAGCGGAATTTTAATTACCTTTTCCCGAGGCGCACTTGAGGAGGCACTTGGTGATACGTCACAGGTAGGAGCAGTAGTTAAGCAGACAGAGCCAGCACCATCAGCAGTAGGTTATCGATTCCGCTCTTCCTCGCCACCCACGAGGGACGATTCAAAACTTTGCGTTGAACGGAAAACCAGAGAGGGGGGGGGGAGGTTCTGTATTTGAGTTTTGCTTTAGCTTTTACTGTGAAATGGTTTTCAAACAAATAATATTGCACTGCAAGAGGCCCTGACAAGAAGAGGACACGAACGAAAAAAAAAAAAGGTACCCATCACGCGGGGGTGGGCGGTAGGGGCTCCGACGATGGTTCAAAAGTTTACCTTGTCGGGCTTCCATTTCCAATATTGGCGATTCGGCAGCTGAATGGGAAGTGAAAACATACAGGAATACCTAGGTAGGGAGGAAGAAAAAAAACACGGCAGCGCGTAATCCCCTGGGGGATTTGACCAACCTCAACCGGACGACAGGAGGGGGGAAAGTTTGGGGTTTGTTATTCGAATTCGCTTTCATCGTAGGCAGCGAATTGGAGGGCTGCCTTCAAACTCACGGAAGCGTGGGGTGTTTTTGATTTCGCACACAGTTGAGTGATTAGGTATTACCTACTTTAAACTGTGTGCATGGTAAATATAAGGGTGAGGTATAATATGTTTAATGCGATGGGTTGATGAAATTCGAGATGCGATGTTTCTAAGTCATCACAGTCAACGAGACTTATGGATTGCTTTCGATTGGTGTTCTATGACATCTTTTTCAAGGATTCTACGAAGAATGGTTAGTTATGTATGGTACATTTACATTTTGGTTTTGGTGAACATTGAAACATTCCCAAGTAACATTGTAAGTTTTATAGAGGATTTAAATCATTCTACAAGTCTGAATCATGGTCTACAGAACCTTTATAAAACCAAAATTGTTACTAGGGATTGTGCAGCGGTTCTCAAACCTTTGTCGATTGCGAACCACTTCCATACGATCGTGACCTTTACTTAAAATGAATCTTACTCAGATAGTGAGTCACTTTTACTAATTCGTATGGAGAAATTTCTAAAAGCATTTGTTTTTTTCCTTGATTTGTTTTCCGTCGATCTTGTTTTCCGTTCTGAACACCAATGCTGCCTCAGAACATCCCGGCGACGCCAAACTGGGATTGAAACCAGGCCTGCTGGGGTGAGAGCTAATCACGCTTACCACTACACCACCAGCGCCGCTTACTGGTTATAATGTTGCTGCTGCTGCTCAATTTAGCGTGACATAATAAATGGATCACCCGTAATATGAAAAAGTTGCTTTGATTTTTGGTGCATCGAGGGTTGCCCCTAATTTTTTTCAGATTAGACCGGAACAAATCATAGGTTTTTCTTTTGTCTCTCGATGCTCGCACCAGTCGAGAGGGGAGGGGAAATAAAAAAATAAACAAAAAAAAATAAAACAAAATCAAGATTCGTTTTACATCACATCTAAACTGTCTATTTCAAACGTTTACATTACTTCTTAGTCTTCGCTTTAGTCTTATGCTTGATTTGATATGTGATTTTTGACGCTAATGCATAACAGGAGCCACAAATGTTGATTTTATTTTGTGTAACACTCGGGTTATCAACAAGACATTTCGCGCATAAGTTGTTGTATCATTTCAAGGAAGAACATTGGTAATAATGTAGATCAATAGCATCAAAGCGACTGACTTTTAGGTTTTGATAAATTCCGGGTAAACCATCAAGCGGAATACCACAAACGTAATAATTCTTATAAAAAAAAAGTTCGGTTTTCGATAGTTCCTTCTTATTCAAATATAACATGGCAGAACAGGAAACCCAAATTGATATGAAAATACCTACTTTGTGAATTTAAAAACCCAGTTTTCTCAAGAATTGTGCGTGTTTCAAAAAACCTAACTAGACGTATGGATTCAGGAAAGCCTATTCAACAAAATCCAAGCGTAATATTCGAAGGAGGGAGCCAAAATCTATCTTGGCTGAATATAAAAACCAAATTTCAACAAAAATACGTACTTTTGTCAATTTAAACCTAGGGGCTTTTCATTACCTACGTAGACGGGTTTTTAGGATTATTGAACCCCCCCCCCTCCCCATGCGTAGACAATTGTCCATACCTTTTTTAATTTGTATGGGCCGTGGATAATTGTCAACCCCCCCCCCCCTAAACTGTCTACGTAGTTTATGAACAGCCCCCTAGCTTTGTGTGTGCTAAAAAAATAATCATCACGTATGAATTCAGCAAGGTTCATTCTATAAAATCCAACCATAACCAACGGTCCAACGATCCAACCAAAGGACGGTATCAAAATCCAACTCAGCAGAAAAGTATACCCAAATTTCTAAACAAATACTTTTCGAATTATAAACCCGGTTCAACCTTCACGTTGTAAGTTGCGGTTTACCTGCCAGCCTATAGCTGGCCCGAAGACGTTCGGATTTGGATGGATTTGGATGGATTTATAAGAAAAAGAGAAAGCAAAATGAAATTAAGACGTCTATTGACTGATCTGACCTTTCCCTATTTCTCCTCGTTGTCCTCGGTGTCACTCGGTGGGGCCCTTCGACGATAGCGGTGGCGGTTACTGCTTGTTCACGTCGATCTCCAGACACGGTCTGTGCCGAGCGTTTCCTACTTCACTTTCAGCTGCCTAGCAGCGGTTTTTTGCTTTTTAGCGGGGGGGATGAGCAAGGCTCCTTTATAGGAACCCCTCCGGTGACGATGGTGACGAATCACCGAACCAACTACTCGCCGTATATGGTCCCGGTAGTCACCGCAGTGCCCTACCCAGACGAACGCTCCTTCGGTTCGGCCTGCTTCGTCCCTCCTTGGCTCTTAACTGCGGTGGTGAGACTGGTTCTACCATAGAGGTAACGCTAAGACTAGTAGGTCCCGAAGAAATGTGCTCAACTTTTTGGCTCAGCTCTGGTACTATCTTCGTTTCCAAGCTAGTCGATTCACCCCTCGAAACATAGGAGAATCCAATAACCCCTCATTTTATCTGTCAAAATTTCATAGCGAATCAAAACAAACATTGTATAGTACTAGAATGTTGACTAGAATAGGGTACGTTAATCGATTTGCTTGGGACCAATAGGCTAGTTAAGTAGTGAGCCAATTTAAAATCGTTAGTTTCGTATTGATTGTTGGTTCTACTGGCTGAACCACCGCAGTGAGGACGGTGGGTGTTCGGGGATCCTTGGGGTTTAGCCGGGAAGCGGAAAAATCCTTGAAATTTAGCTTCGCTTGGCGGCGATCCGACACCCTTCGCTTCTGCTCACGAACCACGGCATTTTTCGGGAAAACGACGTCACTATCGCGTGGCGATGCTGGCAATTATCCCTCCAGTGGACACACGCCACAAAAACGGCACTCCAACTTCT